CTGAGGAGAGGTTCACATTAGGAACAAGGTTTAACTTGAGCTCAAAGCAGGTTTCAAGTCCGGCTCCAAAGAGTGGGCCAGAGGGGCTTAATGTGTGGCAGAAGGAGCTTCTCCCTAGCAAGCCTGAGGAGGTGCAGGATGGAGAGGAGCCTAGTGGTCTTAACATTCCTGAGAAGCCCCCCAGGCATCCTGATCAAAGAARTCTACTAAAGGTTCAAAGTAGGCAGCAGCAGTTCCATCACTGTGGACAGRGGAAATCCTTCACAGTGAAAGCATTGTGGACACTGAAGAGGCTTCATGTGGGAGAGGCCTCCAGCACACTCAGTGGAGGTGGRAAAACCCTGGATAAGGTGGCACTTACTGCCCAAGAGATGACTCAGGTAAGAGAGAAAACTTCAGAATGTAATATGTGTGGGGAAACTTTCTGTAAAAACTCTAAAGTCAATGCACATAAGAAAATACAGAGAAGACTGAAATGTGATGAATGTAGTGGTGGCAAGAAGCTATTGGTTAAGAAGCCATACCTTAYGAAACTCCACAGGTCACAATCAGAATCAGAGGGAAAGCCCCATACATTCAATGAATGTGAGAACTTTTGTCAGAAGACACGACCTACTGGGCACCAGAGGACTCACAGAAGAGCAAGACCCTTTGAAGGTTACGAATATGGAAAGCACTTTCCCCAGAAGTCACACCTCAGCAGGCATCAGGGAACTCCCATWGGGGAGAAGCCCTATGAGTGCAATATGTGTAGGAAATCCTTTTCCCGGAAGTCCCACCTCAGCAGGCACCAGGGCACACACACACAGGCGAAAAACCCTATGGGTGTAAGGAATGCTGGAAGACGTTCTACCATAAGTCGTCCCTCACGATTCATCAGAGAACTCACACAGGTGAGAAGCCCTATGAGTGTAAGAAGTGCAGGAAAAGCTTCTACTGTAAGTCAGATCTCACTGTGCATCAGAGGACTCACACGGGTGAGAAGCCCTACGCGTGTGAAGCCTGCAGGAAGACTTTCTACTCTAAGTCACACCTCACGGTGCACCAGAGAATTCACACGGGTGACAAGCCTTATGCCTGTAAGGAATGCAGGAAGACTTTCAACCGCAAGTCTAACCTTACTGTGCACCAGAGAACGCACACAGGTGAGAAGCCCTATGAGTGTGATGTGTGCGGGAAAACCTTCTATCAAAAGTCCCACTTCAGCACGCACCAGGGAACTCACACAGATGAGAAGCCTTATGAGTGTGAGCACTGCAGGAAGGCTTTCCTTCACAAGTCATCCCTMACTGTGCATCAGAAAACTCACTCGGGCAGCAAGCCGTACACCTGTGAAGAGTGCAGGAAGACATTCCTGCATAAGTCTTCCCTCACCGTCCATCAGAGGGCTCACACAGGCCACAAGCCCTATGTCTGTGAGGACTGCAGGAAGGCTTTCTACTGCATCAGAGAACCCACATAGGCGAGAAGCCCTATGAGTGTGGCGAGTGTGAAAAAGCCTTTCACCAGAAGTCATATCTCAGCAGGCATCAGATGACTCACCAGAATGAGAAGCAGTATGAATGTCAAGAATGCAGGAAAACTTTCTACCGWAAGTCATCCTTCACTGTCCATCAGAGAACACACCTGGGGAAGACGGCACGAATATGATGTATATGGAGAGCTCTTCCACCAGGCATCAGAAAATGCACACAGGGAATCCTCCCACAGTGAGCAAGTGTGGGGACAGAGTTAGTGAAAAGGCACGTGTCAGCAGATGCCAGGGACGCCAGAGAGAGAAGTCCCCGCAGCAGGCTCTGTGGTCCCCAGAATCCAGTTCTCTCTGGGGTGCTCAGCCTCCAGGGGGCRCCTCTCCTGTGTGGGCCCTGGAGCTGAGTTGCACAGCAGAATGTGTACCTGTGGCAGTCATTCCCCACAGCCCAGCCCAGCCTAGCTCAGAACTTCCATCAGGTTCTGCTCCCTGAGTTCTCATGYATCCTGGGCCTCATGTGAGCATGAATACCAGGTGGCTGGTCTTGAGAGCCAGAGATAAAGGCACTGGGACTTAAGAGAAATGTAATTTATTGGAGAGAGCAGAGGTCTTTCTACTTGTATCCCAGAATGCTCCATTCTTATTTCACATGAGCAAGAAATACTCTGTTGGACCAGTGCATGAGCTATTAGCATTTCATTGCAAACCCACTGTAGTTAATTCACTTTATAAAGTTTCTAAGAGAAGTTACCTCTCTTTTTATATTGCAAAAATTCCCACATGAGAGAAACCTGTACTGTCACCTTTGATTCCCAAGTCAGCTTATGGAAAATAGGAACAATCATATGGAAAAGTAACAAATTGAGAWTGTCTTATCAGGCAGGTTACTTTCATGAACACTTTATGAATAAARTAAACCTTCATACATTTCTTTAACTTGTAAAAGCTTTTAACACACCTTCTGACTTTTTATGTATAAACTTTGTAATGAAGGAAAATTATCAGTATCTGTAATTTGTATGTTAATTTTCCAATGAAAGTGTTGAATATAGTATTGGAGATTATTTTAAAATATTTGACTATATGCCAGAAAATACTGCCTGTCAGAGGTCTTTATCATTATGTACAGAGTCACTGCAGTTGGAAGGAGGCAAGCAGGTGGCATAGCAAGATCCCATCTCAAAACAAAGAAGCAGGAATGCCATAGAGGCTGCTCAGGGCCTTGCTGAGTTACTGTGGCTGGCTTTGAACTTGCAATTCTCCTTCCTTGGCCTCCTCAGCAGCTGGGATTACAGGAAGGCCTGTGCCACCTCATCCAGCCAGGGGGAGTCTCACATTTCCACTGTCCCTAAACTCCGGGTCCCACTGCTCTCCWTCATTTCCTGAAAGTTAATAAGACTGCTCTGGAAGGCAGGCAGATCTAAGTYCATCAGAAAGCCCCCTGAAGCATTCCTAGTCCCATCCTCACCACCCTCATGCCAGGGTCAGGAGATCAGACAGTGAATGAAAAGGCCTTGGACTTGCATCCAGCTTTGGGCTCTGGAGAAGGGACCAGGGAAACTGAAGCCTCAAAGAAACAGTGCCCATACTTTATCCACATTGGACCTTACTGACTTTGGAGGACCCACCTGAGTCTCCTTCCCTGGGCACTGCCTGAGAGGCACTCAGCCCAGCTCAGCTGCTGTCCTGTACCTTTTTCWCAGGCAGTCCTTGATCTCCATGAGGAGAGCAGGCTGGTGTCATGTGCAGGCCCAGTGCTCACAGTGGGCAGGCTGATAGGGTGTCTGTGAGTCTCAGGGAGGAGTTTCCAAGCCCTGAGACCTGAGGGCAGACTGGGATCATGTGCAGGCCCAGCACTCACAGTGGACAGGCTTGTGTGGTGTCTGTGAGGCTCAGGGAGGGTGTTCCAAGCCCTGAGACCTGAGGGCAGGCTAGTGTTATGTACAGGCCCAGCGATCACAGTGGGCAGGATGGTGGGGTATCTGTGAGGCTTAGGGAAAAGGTTCCAGGCCCTGAGACCTGAGGGCTCTGTACAGGCTCCCTAACCATCAGGATCCTGTCCTGACTTCTGCCGCATTGCCCCCAGTCACCTCCACCATGGGTCCCAGCCACACCTCACCCAAGTCACCATGAGCCAGCTCGCCCTGCYCCTGCCCAGTTTCTGTGCTGGAGGCATCTCTCCTAGCCACAGCAGAAGGGAAGAGSTGAAGGAGAAAGCTCACCTCCTCTCTTAATCTGGAGGCCTCTTCCCACCTCAAGGCCCTCACCTGCTGCTGCTTTTTCTTCTGRACTGCCTGGGGTTCATCCCTAGGGGACCCAGGTTGAGGTGCTCCATAACCATGGTCAGAGAAAAGGTAATGAAAATTCCCTGCACTRGTTAGCACTTGACCCTTGACTGTGGGCCCTGGATAAGTGGGTGAGCCAGGTGCAGTGATGCTCCCAGATCCAGCACTCRGAGTGTCACCTCAGGCTGTGGCCTGGTCTCTCCAACCTGACCTCATCTGGAACCTGTGATGTGAACTCACACCTGCCTCACGGTGTCACAGCCCTGAAAGTACCAGTAGCAAGCTCTGTCACATGCTCTCCCGCCTAAACCTAGTGCACACGCCATGCCTGCACATCAGGGTCATCAAATACCCATTTTCCAGATGAGAATCAGAGACCTAAAGGAAGACAGTGACTTCCCTCCCCTAGGSGTACATCCCATCTCAGCTTTGTTCACCCCATACCCTGGCMCCACTAACTACAGTCCCATCCTCTGAGCTCTCGAGGTGTGTGCAGGGCCCAGGAAGGCACAGCCATGGTAGGAGAGGGGCAGGGTGTCCCAGGCAGGATAAATGGCCCCTGCTGTCCTCACCCCAAACAATCTTCAGAAGCAGGCCCTGAGGCCATGTTCAGCTTTACCTCCTTAGGGAGTTTGCAGAACAAAACACTCCCTCTCCACTCAGAAGGTGCTCTCCAAAAGGGCCTGTTCTCACTGAGGGGGCTGAGCTGAGATTTTACTCTTTGACATGGAAATTTCTATCATCTGGTCAGGAAGGACCCACTAAGCATGCACGACCTCACAGATACTCTCATAAAACATCTGACGATTACATTGATTACATCGCTGCTAACGGGTCATCAGTGTAACAGTCCTGGGATGGTTACTCAGCAAGTCACCTGAGAAATGACCAGTGGGACCCTTGTGCTGATGCCTGTATGGAGCAACCTGCCAGCATATCCTCCTCAGGTGGCCTTCACAGGTGGAGGGGCCAGTGCAGGAAGCATACGCAAACACTCTGTTTTCCCACTCCAGGCTTGTACACAATGGCTGGTGCCCCCCAAGGAGAGGATTGTGCCCTGTGGATCCTGCCYCTGGGTGTCTGGCACTCCCTCTTCCACTCACTCATTCTGCAGATACTCTCTGCCCTGCTTTGAGCCCAGCACTGTGCTTCCCCAGCCATCCTGACCCCTGTGAGCTTCCCAGGTGAGCTCAGGCCCACTGTGTGAAGGAGGAAGTATGGCCCTGGGGTAGGCAGGGAAGGTGGGCACCAAGAATCACTCATTTTATTGCATGGGAGGTTCACAATTTTAGGAAGTGTCAGAGATTGATCAAACTGGTGTATAGATTTAACTCCATCCCTAGGAAATCCCAGGGAGGCTTTTTGGTTTTTTTATTGCAGACTTTACGAGTTAATTTTACAATCCATATTACTCCATGATGGCCAGTAACAAGTGTTGTCAAGGATGTGCAGACRGCGAGATCCTTGGGGTTTGGGAATGGGAATGGGGGCACTGTGAGCACCGCTGYGGAGCTCCAGGTGGTTTGACAGGCAGTTGCCCTGTAAGCAGGCAGCTCCTCGGTTGGACTGCATCCTGGTTGATGGAAAAGGCAGGCACACCTAGAGCCTGGGAACACTGTGAACAGCAGAACTCTTYAAGCAGCCCGCAGTGGACGTTTTCCAGGGGTTCATGAGTTGAACAGGTGAGTTTATTCCATCCCGGAGGGAACCTGAAGTCTGTCAGCCAAAGGAGAAACTAAATGGTCCACCACAGGGTGGGCTCCTTCAGCTGACAGACTTCAGCTTCCTCTGGGTTGGAATCAAGACCCTCCATGTGAATAGACCATAGTGGGTGGGTGGCTGGGCTGACTGTGGGTTTCACATCCAAGGCTGTGGTGATTGGCTTGTGGATATATATACACATACATATTTGTTTCTTTTTTTTCTCATTTTTAGTGACAGTTTTCCTTGACTTTTGAAGATTAAGGAATTTTGTTTGTTGGTTTTGCTTTTGATTGCTTGTTTCTCTTATTTCACTTTCTCTCCTTCTATTGCTAACAGCCAAATTCTATTCTCTCTTTCTCCCTTTGCTTTTCTATTTTTTAAATTATTCTTTGTAGCATCACCTGCTACATATTCTCTACTTTCTCTCTTTTCACATTTTGAACATTCTAAACTTTCTTTTACTTTCCTATCACATTTTATTTTCTCATAATAAACTGTGTTTTAAAAACCTTWTAGAATCATTTGGTTTATGTACCTTCTGCCCCCACCATTTATTTSCAGTTATTAGTATGGTATTTGACACCGGATGAATGGGGAAAAAATGTAGTGGGTTTTATTTAGCCATAAAGAAGAATGAAATTATGCCATTTGCAGGAAAATGGATGKAACTTGAGAACATTATGTTAAGCAAAATAAACCAGACTCAATGTCACATGTTGTCTTTCATCTGTGGATGAGAGGAAGAGGGAAAAGAAAGGTGGGAGAGGGCGGAGATCTCATGAAAATCAAAGGGAGATCATGGAACATAGGAAAGGGACACATAAGGGAGGAGGARAGGGAAACAGAAATACTGGGGGTTGATAATGGCCAAATTGTATTATTGTGTCATGTGCATATATGGATATGKAACAGCAAATCCCACCATTATATGCAACTGTAATGCACCAATAAAAAAGAATTTAAATGTGGAAAAAAATAAAGAGTGACAATAAATTTCACTTCTCTAGACTTTATTTCATATTCATCTTTTGGATATATTTTCTCTTTAACATATGGCTTTGAAAACTCATTTTAATTCTTTAAATT